TCACACGCGCACACCCCCCCACACTGCGGGTCACACGCGCACACACCCCCACACTGCGGGTCACACGCGCACACCCCCCCACACTGCGGGTCACACGTGGACGCACACACCCCCACACTGCGGGTCACACGTGGACGCACACATCGCTCATCACGCACACACGTGCACGCGCGCACGCATCTCAACAAGGCTGGGGACGTGGGATGTAAGTTATTCACAGTGGAAGTCACTCTGCAGCACAAGCCTCACGAAAACACGGCGGCGAGCGCAAGTCCCTGTTTGTAGGAAACACACTGGAGCCGGTGGGTGGCTTGGCCTTGGGGTCCAGGCAGAAAACTCCTCCTTCTCCTTGGTCACCTCCTGCGAGTAGCTGACTATCCCATAGCTCACAAGTGTGCACTGACGAGAACTTCCAAGTCCCCATTTATGCAGAACTCTCCTTTTCCAGAATATATGTTTTAGGACAAACTCTAAAGGCATTTACACAGCACGCTAAGGAACCAGAAAAATGCGTGTCCTGACACAGTGGACTTCTGGTTACCCACATGGGTCCCGGAGCAGGACACTGTGGACACTGTGGCTAGGGTGCCCCTAGAAAGACGTCTGGCGGCACCTCACCTGGAAACTGGGGGAGAGCCAGGCCATCTGGGGCCGTGTCCTGATGAAAGGGGTGCCTGGGGCACAGGCACAGATCCCCAGGAGGGGCCCTCGTGACCGTGGGGCCACGGGGCTGAGCCGCGCTGCAGCAAGAAGGGTCTGGGAGGGTCAGGGAGGGTCCGGCCTTCCCGCCTGCGCCCCTAGGGCCTGCTGCCCGCCCACACCCTGATTCTGGACTTTGGCCTCCAGAAGTCAGGGCAGACCTTCCTGCTGTTTTAAGACGCCCAGGGCATGCACCCCTCGGCCCATCGGACGCCTGTTCCTCCTCAAACCTCCAAGGGCGGGCAGTGAAACCCCAATCTCACCCAGACCCTGCAACTGCTGCAGGGAAGGGGCAGGGAAGGCCCCAGGAGAGCCCACAGGAAGGTCCTCCACTGACCTCACAGAGCCCCCCGAGGCGGGGGAGGTGCCTAGCCACAGGCCAGCTCACAGATGAGCGAGTGCTCTCCCACTCAGGGGGCTTCCCAGGCTGACGACGTGCCCTTGGCTTCCTGAGCTGCCGCGTCCCTGCCGAGACTCCCGTCTCCCGCTCAGCGCGACATCCTTCTGTTCTGTGAACCTGCCCAGGCTGCTCCGGAACTCCTGGGCCACCAAGGCCGCTTCCTACTGGCTGGCTCTGTCATGACCAGGGCTCACCCTTTCCCCCGTGTCTGTGGGACGGCCCCCGTGCAGATCGGAGTCCACGGCTGTCCCATGCAAGTCCCGAACCTGTGTGGGCACCCTGGATAGAGGCAGCCTCCTCGCCCACTTCCTTGTGGGGCACGTCTAGGCTCCAGGTGAAGGTCAGCCCAAGGTGACACCCTGGTCCTGCACCGGCCACAAGTGCATAATGACGAGGCCTCTCTCGTCTGGCTCAGTGGAAACGGCAGGGCATCCCACGCCACCCCAGCCCTGGGCGGCACAGCCCCCGTGCCCCACAGTGTGCCGCCCCAGCCCGGCCCCTCTGGCACAGTGGGACCACCACACCACCTCGGGCAGAGACTGCGGAGACCTGGGCTCCTCTGTCTCCCTGCCCTCGGCGCTCACGGTCCCGCAGAGCCTGTCTGTGGACGCCCGCACACAGCTCTGCCTCAGCCGTTCTGCCCGTTTCCTGGCTGCTCGCGGCGGAAGCTGGTTGAGCCCAGTCACCATCGAGGCCAGGACAGAAGTAAACTGAGGGCTGACGGTAACATTCGGAAATTGAAAGACACGAAAGCAACCCCACTGCCGTCACAAACTGCTACTTTACAGAGATGGACAAGCACGACAGAGCGGGGACATTAGGGCACCAGCTCACTTCACCTCACAGGGCAGGATCTTCCGTGACGATAACTACGCTAATGCGTCCAGAGACTACGTTTCTAAACTTCCATAAAAGTTCAACTTGCCGACAGTTTGGGGGTAAAATACTCTGTATCCTAGAAATGTAAAAATAACTCATGCCTAAAACCAAACCCTCATGTTTGGAAGGATCCCGTGACGCAGAATGGACTTAGCCTGCGCACTGTGCTGAGTCCCCGAGGACCTCGCTGGGGAGGGGAAGGGCACACACCTGTGATGGGCACGTAGCCGACGCCTTGCTGGTACACGGTGGGCATCAGGACCACGGGCTGAGGCGGCATCATCACGGTGGCTGGCAGTGACTGGAACACACAGAAGACGATCACGGGGTCACAGGAGAACACAGCACACAGGGAAACGGACACACCCTGGTGGAAGGCCGGGGCGAGTGCCTTGGCTACGGGGCTGTGGCCGACGGACACATCAGAAGGGAACGTGGTCCCCAGAAGCAAACAAGTACTTTCAGGCCCTACAGGGGTAACGCTTCCCGACTGCCTCTAGCACGCCACCCCTCAGTGGACGCGGTCAGGGTTGTGCGTTCACATGAAAACGTCAGTTGTGTCATGAAACGTCTAGGAGTAAAATGACACGAATGCTAGCACCCGCCTTCAAACAGCCCAGGAGTAAAGAGGGGAACCAAGGTCTGCTGGGCTGGGACACCTGCAGGGATCCTCGTCCAGCAGGTGTACAATAGCAGGGACACCACCACCGCCTTGGGGACACAAAGGTACCAGAACCCCACCCTCCCCGAGAGCAGTGGGCTGCAGACTGGACCCGGCATGAGCCAGGGGACCCGAGAACCAGAGGGCCAGCAGCTGTTCCCTCAAACCCCATGTGGTCCTGAGACCCTCCCCACCCCGACCCCAGACCACATGGTGGGCCCTCTCTGGCCATGGGTGGGGGGGCATACCCCGAGGGACAGGCCACCACGCCATGCTGCTCCCCCCACCAGAATGCACCACGGTTCCAGTCCCTCGGGAGCAAACAGCCCCACTGAGCTGAAGCTGCCCCTCCGCCCGCCTTCCTGCCCTGCCCTCACCGTGTAGGACATGACCAGGTTGATCATGCCCTCCTTGTCGTCACCCTGCCGGCCGCTCAGGCTGTACCACTCGTCCTCCACCTTGCCCTGCTTCAGGGACTCGGGAATGGTGACATGCGTCCAGGCAATGCGGTCGTCCATGGAGAAGGCCCGCTGAGGGAGATGGGGGGCACAGGTGCTGCTGCCATCCCGAGGCCCCGCCCCTGCCGCCCACTCTCCAGGTGCCCTCATAGCCCCTGAGCCCCACCCACAGCCCCACCCCTCACCCTGCCCCTGGGGGCCCACCTCCTCCAAAAGTCACCCCCAACCCCCACCCCAAGACCTGGTCCTGCCCACAACACACACAGGACCCCTAGCCTCAGCCCCACAAAGCCATGAGGGCCTCCGTCAGCATCTGGACAGGTGCAGTCTGGCCTCTGCCTGCCCCCTCAGGATCCCCTGCAGGTCCAAAGCCTAGTGGGCAGAGAGAGAGGAAAGAAGACCCTCTCCCTGCTAATAAGCAGACCCTCCCTCCTATCCCCCTGTGCTAAGCAAAAGGAGAGAAGTAGGAGAGAGGAACCTAGAAGGCAAAAGAGAGAGCAGAGGGCACCATACTGGGTGGGGGGTCCACCTCAGGCCCTGCTGCCCAACCCCCAGCCCTCCGACCTCTCCCCCTGCCAACCAAGCCCCTGGGGCTCCCTGGCTGGCCACAGCGGGCTGGGCGGCCCCATGCACATGCCCAGAGGACCAGGCTCAGGACGAGCCCCACGGCATCCCTCTGACCCTCCCAGGGACGCCTGGGGGGCTGGCAATGTGCACAAGAACCCCATTCCACCCGGCGTGGGGGTGTCTAAGCCACTTTATACCCAACCTGATCACAAGAGCTGGCCTCCGTGTGCTTTTGGCTTGGGGACGTGTCTGGGGCTTACAGAAGGGGGTGCGGCCAACACTGTCTCCTCAGAGTGCCGGGTCCCCAGCCCTGGGACGCCGTTTCTGCACGTAACCGGTCAACAGACCTGTGCGGGGCCGTGTGCTGTGCGCTGCTGCTGGGGACACCAGGACGCCCGTCACAAAGCAACTGACGGCCCTGTGTCTGGGCGGGCCTGCAGCTCCTGGGCGGCCCACACCCCCGGGCCCGCGACGGGCGGCCGGCCCTCTCACCTCGTCGAAGATCTCTAGGTAGAAGGAGTCCACACCCGGGGGCACCGTGCACTGGATAACCTTATTCCAGCGGGGGTTCTTGGCGCCGTTGTGGGCGGTGGGCGTCTCGTACACGGCATAGCCCAGGCGCAGGCGGCAGTACGGGTCCATGCGGGTCATGCCGTAATTCTTCGCCAGCTTGGCCTGAAACACACCAATGTGACTGAAGGGGCGGCCGGCGTCGGAGTGGAGGACACGTGCTCACCCACGCTGTCCACCCGCTCCGAGTCACCAACCCTGGCGTTCCCTGGGGACCAGGATATGGCCGCCACTGCGTTCCTGGGCTCTGGGTGCCCGGTCCCTGCTCAGGTCAAGGGAGCCATGGCGCCACACGGGGCAGCTCCTTCTCCAACGTCCCCTCAGAAGAGGCTGCAGGGTAGGGTGACGGGCAGGCTGTCCTGGGCCAGAGCCAAGAGCCAGCCTGGAGCAGCGGGGCCGCAACTTCAGGCCACGGGCCAGCTGTTGCCAGGCTCCCTGTTCTGTTGTGTCCACCGCCATGGGCTAGGGGCCCTGAGGAGCCTGACCCTCAGCCGGACAGGCTGCCTTTGCAGGAAGAAAGTGCGGGGACTGACGAAGAGCGAAGGCTTTGGCTGCCCGGGTCTCTGTCCGCAAACAGCCTTCCGAGCGGATCTCACCACTCCAGCACACCACGGCCCGGGAGAGGAGCACAGCGGCTGCTGCCCACCGACACTGACCCTTCAGGCCCGGACCTGTCTGCCGAGAGGGGCACGAGCAGACACACGTGGGATGGAGCGCCATGCCCAGGACAGAGGAGCCTCTCAAACCTCAGTGCCAAGAACACAGCCCAGTGGGATGCTGGCGAAGACCTGCGGGGGAACGCGCTGGCTCCGTGCCGTCGGCCGTCATGGGGACATCAGCTCAAACCCCAACGAGCCCAAACCAACCGACCCTGTGCTGAGCCGCACAGCACCCACATCCCGCGCGCAGCTGTCCAACGACACACCTGCCGGGCACCCGTGGAGGCCCCGTAGGCCGTGCCATGGACGCTTCCAGCTGCAGCTGGGTGGAGACCGGGCGCGGGGACAGGGAGGGGAGAGGCGGGGCGCTCCATGGACAGGAACCACCAGAAAAGCGGCCGGTGGGGCGGCCCAGAAGCACAGTGGGGCCCCACAGACCTGGGACAAAGGCTTATCACGGAGGATGCGGGAAGCCACGGGCCATGCTGAGACGCCCAGCAGCTACACAGGGCTGGGGGGACAGCGAGCCGGGCGCAGACCTGCTGCTCGTGCAGGTGCACGAGGGGGCAGACTTTCAGAAACACCTGAGGATCTGCGGTGACCCCGTCACCCCGAGAGTGTGGCCAGGTGTCTGGGACACAGTTCCCGTAAGACCCACGGTATTTGTGAGGCCTGGCTGTGACTCTGCCTGCCTCCCAGTGACTCCCCTTTCTCCCTGGTTTCACAGAAAGCCACGGACACCAAAACCACTTTAGGCCCTGACCATGCCTTTGGCTCTCCTGGGGGTCCATGCCCCGACCTCACCAGCACCGTGGGGGGCGGGAAAGGCATGAGTGGCAGGAGCACGGCTGGCACGCGGCACACGCCCATCCGCACCCCTCCCTGGTGATCCTGCTACTGCTGGTATTAGCCCGGGGAGTCATCCGCATCCTTTATCAGATGCGCTTCCAGAAGAACGAAGCAGAAAAGCCACCTGTCCCCACGGCAGGTGCGGTACAGCCGCCCTGGGGAGCCCCGGCGCGCACCTGCACCACGGTGACGCTGAGGCGGCCCACCGTGCCCGCCGCCCCTCCGTACTGTAGCTGCTGGGCTGCCTGTGCATCCAGTTGCACCTGCTGCTGTGCGGCCGTGGGCGTGATGCGGAGGAAGTCCCGCGGCAGCTCGCCGACGTACACCTTCGGGGAGAGCACACCGTTAGTGGGGGGGAGCAGCCACGTCATCGCCAGAGCCGGGGGCCCACGGGGTCTCCAGCCCGAGCACCTCGAACCAGCACCCTGCCCTCCGGCAAGGAGCCCTCCGTGGACGGAGACGCACACCGGGCCTCGGCGGGGGCCATGGTCGGGGGTCACACACCCTAACCCACGTGTCCGCCGTCGGCTTGCTCTGCAGCCACTGGGATGAGCTACGCCTGCGAGCTGCGAGGTTCCGGCTGAAAACAAGCAGTGAGACAAAACTGGGAGCTTGGATTTCTAGTTGTACAGAAACCCACAGCTCAAACCAGCAACGGCCCAGAGACCCCACAAAGCCGCAAACACCCGCCCCCTTTTTGCCGCCTGCTGATCCCTTTGTGCACGAGGCTGCCTTGCCTCGGAGAAGAGGGGCCGGGACGCGCCAGACGGTGGACTGCGCAGAGGCCCCAAGGGTTCCCAGGAGCCAGTGTTCCAGGAAGAGGCAGCGACTACCGGGGGAGCCGGCTGCCACACGTGGTGGCTGCCGTGGACGGGGCTTCCCCTGCGGAGACAAGCAGAGCGAGGCCCCGTGGGGTGTTCGATGCACGGCGGCCTGCATGTCACTCTTCCCAGGCAAGGCAGGCTCAGGGTCTGGAGGCTCCGGGCAGAAGGACAGACGGCCCAGGGAAACACAGTGGGCACAGCTGCTGGCCACAGAGCCCCGCGGGAGGGGGCAGCAGACCACAGCGCAGGGGGCCCGGGTCCTCCTCGGCCGCCCCATGGGGACGTCACCAGGATCCAGGAGAGCCTCGAAGGAGTGTTATTTCCAGGAAAGGCCCCGGCGCCACAGCGAGTTGTGGCGAACTGCATTACCGACGGTGGCCACTAGGGACCGCACGGGCACGCACCAAACACCCTAAGGCCTGCGCTGCTGAGGTGCCAGATGACTGGGTCCAGCAGGATTCCAGAAGGTTCCGCACCCGCTGAGGTCACAAGCACCAATGGGAAAGCATTTCTCTGCTGTTTCACTTCAAACGTCCCCAGAAAGGTCTAGGTCCCTGTCCTTTGTGTCCCCTCACGGGCCTAGTGTTGAAACTGAAGGACAGCCACTCCCAGACGCCCGTCTCGGGTTCCCCAAGGCCCCAGGCTCAGCACCCGGCAGCCTGGTGCTCCAAATGCTTCTCTCTGCGAAGCAAGCGCCCCCTTCTCCTGGCCGCACCCCACGCCGGGCCGTCTCAGGCGCCCGGGGAGGAGGGCCCCTCGCACCATCTCTGCGTCTAGAGTGGGCAACCCCGGGGCTCATGTACTCATCACAAACACAAGGGAAAAGCAGTGGGGCCCTGGAGGCCCAGGGTTGCCAGGTGAGGACGGCACTGGCTCCCAAGGGGCCTCGCAGGTGCCCTTCCCCCAGCGTGCCGCTCGGCTCACCAGCAGGGCCCAGGGCTCGCCCTGGAAAGGAGGCCGCATGCCCTCCCGCACGGCTGAGGTGCTGTGGCTGGCCCGGCGGCTGTCCGGCCGACGCCCATGGTCACGATGGGTAAATGCGCCTACATGCGAACCACACTCCCAGCCAGAGCTCTTCCCAGAGGCCACAGGGCCAGATGCTGCCTTGCCAACTGGCCACGGGCCTCCCAGCCTCCGCCTGCAGCGGCCGCATGAGCTCTGCCCACTCCCGTGAGGGCGACCTGGCGCACAGGGACTCAGGCTAACCAAACGCAAAACATCAGTGCACACAGACCGAATTCTGTTATTCTGACAAGTAACCGCTCCCTCCGCACCACACAATGCAGCTCCGAGGGTCCTGTGGGGACACGCCGTGCCTTCGGGGGGCACACCAGGGACGGCCACGCAGGTGTCGGCAGCGACAGCGGTGACAGGGTGTGCTCAGGCCCGGGATCGTTCTACTGCTACTTCCCGTCATCCCATCCCCAGACCGGGACTTGCAGAACGACGCTCCCTCTCTGCTGTACTCATCTGGGTTTTCTTCAAGGAGAACATGCCCTTTAGAAGGGGCGGGTAAAACCGTACTACAGGACAGAGATCGGGGCGCCCGGGGGTGCCGCCGGCTGAGCCTCTGACTCCTGATTTTGTCTCAGGTCCTGATCTCAGGGTCCTGGGATCGAGCCCCACGATGGGCTCCTTGCTCAGTGTGGAATCTGCTTGGGACTCTCCCTCCTTCCCTCTGCCTGGCCCGCTGTGCTCGTGTTTGCTCGCTCACTTTCAAATAAGTAAACCTTAAAAAAAAGAAAAAAAAAATCAAACATCTAATGTTCTTTCTCAACCACTTTTCAACTTTGAAACCATAACTGTGAAATGAGAATTTTTATGACATAAACTAACAGCGCAAACAAAACACGGGAAGGGACAGACGTTGAGCCGCCCGCCAACGCCAGCACTGACAGGATGGGGGACACCAGCTTCCGGAAAAGCCGCGAGGAGGACCCCCCGCCCTGGGGGCTTCTTCCTGCCTGAGGGGCAGGCTACGACGTCCCTGACCAGCAGTCCTCCGACAGTCCAGGTCTCCCAAACAAGGCATGCCTGAGACGGCCCAGAGAGCAGGCCGCTAAGGGTCCATGGCGTCCAAGTAAAGCCCAGAGCGAGCGGTCGCACAGCAAAGCCGGTCTCTGCTGACATCGGTCGTGCCCTGCTGACGTCACCAGTGGGGACCTCCCACAGGGTGCAGAGACGCAGGAGCTCTCGCACTCTCACAGCCGCACTGTACCTCGAACGTGCGAGGTCAGGAGAAAACGTCAACCTCACTGAAAAGGAAGGAAACGGCGCTTGGCTTCTTACGAAACACTGAGCTCCTGGTTATATGGGCGGGGCCCCGCTGCCCTGGGAGCCACCACACAGGTCCGTCCACGCGAGCGGACGCCCACACCTGCAGTCGGCACGAGTCCGTCCACGCAGCACACGCCGTGGACGAGCCCGGGTGCCCACACAGGCCCGACGGCTTGAGAGACCAGCGGGGAAGGTTGTCGGGAGCGCCGGCCTCACGCACGTGCAGACGCTCAGGGCTAATCCCAAAACCGACTTTGCCCCATGATGACGGAGGAAAGGCCCGAACGGTCACGCGCAGCACGCGCTTCATCCTGCCTCGAAGACTAGAGAACGAGGAATCCTGGTCAGAGACGCGTGAGGGACACTGTCAACTGTCACCTGGCTCACGCTTACAAGTGGGGTACACGGACTGCAAAGCGACGTCAGCCGCGCACCGGCTGGGGCAGGTGGCCCTCTGGGCCCGGCTGTCATCACTGTCCCCACGGGGAGCAGCTCCCCCGTTTCTCCTCCCCCCGCAGCGTCTGTCGGCCCACGCGCCGCACAGCGACTCGGCTCGGCGCACAGACAGCGCTCCTCAGTTACGCACGGCCACGGCAAGCTTCTGAGGGGCGCCTGGGGGGCTCAGCAGCTGAAGCCGCTGCCTTCGGCTCAGGTCATGATCTCAGGGTCCTGGGATCGAGCCCCGCATCGGGCTCTCTGCTCAGCGGGGAGCCTGCTTCCTCCTCTCTCTGCCTGCCTCTCTGCCTGCTTGTGATCTCTGTCAAATTAATAAAATCTTTTTAAAAAACTGAAAAACTATTAGTGTTTTGTATATATTTGTTGAACAGCCTTGAATGCATTTATTTATAAATTATAATGTGTCAAATTACACACACAAATCAGCGATTTATATAAATACTGTACCAACAAAATCACAAATTCAAAAATTCATTCAACTGTTACTTTTCCAGTAAAACATCTGGAAAGTTTTCTTAGTATTTTTAATGAACTTTTAACTTTTGCTTGATATGCGAAAATAGTTTTTAGTCTCCTGCTGGATGTTCTTTTTGGCCCCCTGACAAGGTGACGGGGTGAACTCCTGTGGCACGGAGACAAACATGGCAACAGTGGCACGAGGCGAGCTCCCGTGTCCGTGTCCCCCACCAAGTCGACGGCCACGCGACACCCAAGGCAACAGGCACGATGATGCCACGAGGAGGAGCAGCCCCGGCGCAGGCCGCCAGCCGCTGTGAGGCCGTCCCCTGGCTCTGCTTGTCTGAGAACCTGCTCCACCCTCTGGAGCCAGCATCACCCCTGAGGACACTGGCACTCAGGGCTCCAGAACCCCCACCGTGGTCCGAAGACGTACCCCAACACAAACGCCTCCTTGGTCCACATCACTCACACTGGAACCACAGCTGAAAGGGACAAAGAAGGGTGACACCAGAGACAAAGAGAAGCCCTTTGGGCCCTGAGCTGTGGAGGGGCCAAGGGCCAGGCAGTAAAGTCCCAGCTCACAAGACGAGGCGCCCCCACTGCAGGACGGTGTCTGGTGGGCCAGGAGTCCCAAACCTCCCCGGCATCCCAGGGGCCAGTCGCGCTGAAGGCCCTGCAAGGGGACACGTGTCACCAGACTGAGGCCACAGCTCAGCAGGGTCCTATCTCCCAAGCGACTCCATGAAGGTGCGGCTCTGACCCCCAGCCTGGCTGGGACTGAATCCTCGCTACGCCCTGCAGGAGGGGCCCGGGCGGCGGAAGAGCCGGGCGCGTGCTGCAGGGTGTGACAGCTGATGGGCCCTGGGGACAGCAGAGGCGTGTGGGCGGGGCACGGGCTGAGAGCCCCACTCTGCTCAGAAGGTGGGGCTCCCTCAGGCTCATCCTGACACTGGGGGAGACTGCAGTGGGGTCCGCGGGAAGGAGGGCCCCGCTGCTCAGGAAGGAGGCTGGGAGGAGACAGGGAGTCACTGTCACGCGGGAGACCTAAAGCCAGGGTCCCGGGGGGAGAGGACACACAGGAAAAGAGGAGGAGGAGGAGCTGCTGGAAGGAGGTCCACGTGCAGACAGTGGCCTCAGAGCAAGGAGAGGCTGCGGTCACCTGGCTCACAGGGGATGGCCATTTCCAGAGGGCCCGGGAGATGGGACGCGAGGTACGGCAGCGCCGACCCCGGGCACACCCGCGCCCAGCTCCGCGAGGCCGGAGGGAGGGGCTCGGCTCTGCGGTGGCGGGGAGGGCTGGGCCGCCGGCAGGGCAAGCGGGGGGCCCCCGCGGCCAGGGTGCGTGCAGGAGCCCACGGGCTCACCACCACGCGCAGGCCTGAAGGGAAAGCCGAGTCCTGCCTCCGCGGCCTGGGAACGGACGGGCAGGAGCCGAGCGCGTCCTGACCTCCCTGCACGACGTCTCAGGACAAGCGGGCGGCGGACTGGGGGCCGGCACTGCAGACCGCTCTGGTCAGTCAGCGCAAACAGCCACAAGACACCCGACACGCCCCGCGCCGGCCCGAAGTCGCCGACCCAGCAGTCCCCACGACATCGGCAAGTCACACCCATGTTCACGGCTTACTGGAACTCCACCCGCTTACGTTTCCCGGCTCGCAAGGACGCAGTCACCGCGTCACCCGGCAGAAGCGATCGCTGTCCGCGAGGCTGACGAGGGCCTGGAGTCGCAGGTCAGCCGCGTGCCGCCCGCAGGCCAGCTTGGCTCGGGCGGGAGGGAAAAGGCATCAGGAGGAGGAGGGCGGTGCGCTCGGCCTGAACCCGCTCACCCGTCAGCACCTCTGCAGGAGGTCGGGTGGTCGTGGTCAGCCCGGGTTCGGGGGGCCGCCCCACGCGTCTGTGAGGGAGGCTGGAAAGGCTCTCGCTGCCTCCGACGGAGCCTCGGTCACCGTCCCCACGAGCCGGCGGGCGCCACCGAGGTTTAAAGCAGCCTGTCTCCCACAAACTCCCCGCGCTCCCACGAGGAAGGCCGGGCCCGACCGGCGCTTCTGACAGGCTGTGGGCTGCGGCAGAACACAGAGGTCGCCGCAAGAACACCGGCCATGGGAAAAGCGAGGCCAACAGGACAGGCCTGGGCACAGCCCCACGGCGACGCGGGGAAGGAACCAGCCCCAACGGACAGACGCCTAAGAACCACCTGAGCCCCACCGAGGGGAGCAGCTGGCACTGCCCACCACAGCCCACCTCCGCCAGCCCCTCGGGCTTCTCTGTGCAGGGAGGCAGGAAACACCCCATCCCCTGCCAGGCAGACTCTCCCTCCTCTGTCACACTCCCAAGGACGCTGCCTGTCACTCCTCTGTGGCGAGTGGGACACAAAGGATGCCCCACGTGCACCTGAGTCCAGGCTATGGGCGCCCTGGAGCCCAGTGGAGCCCTGTGTGCCATGCGCAGGGGTATGGCCCCCCCATCCCCAGCCACACGCGCTCAAGAGAGCGCCCAGCCCCCACCCAGCCCCTGAGTGCTGCCCGGTGCTCCCTCACCACCCGCTGGGATGGCCGAGCACCTGTCCTCTGCCCGCACAGGACCCGGCCCCCAGTGCAGTCGGGGCACCCGGCTAAAGGACAAGGCCCACCAGACTGGAACAACTGCCGCAGTCCTCACAAGGACCACTTGGCCCAGGGGGAGCGGGGGCGCTGAAGCGGCTGGTGCCGGGCAGGGGGCTCTGTTAGAGACGAACACCGGAGAGACCGGGTGAAACTCAAGCGCCCAGTCCAGCTGCTGGCCTTTCATCTGAAAAAGCACCCGGCCGGGCCTGCTGCTCGCACTAGCACAGGCCCCCCCCCCCCGCCCGCCTCACGGCCCCCAGCCCCTCCCCACGGGCCTGCTGGGCTCCTCCTCCAAGTGTCAGGTTAGGTGCCAGGTCCCCCCAAGAACCTTACCCACCTCGACCACAGCCCCGACAGGCCACCCCCACATCTAAGTCAGGAGTCGAGACCCACAGCTCTGGGCACCTGGGTGGCTCCGTCGGTTGAGCACCTGACTCTTGGTTCCAGCGCAGGTCACGATCCCGGGGTCATGGCATCGAGCCCCACGTCGGACTCCACGCTCAGCAGAGTCTGCTTGTCCCTCCCCCTCGATGCTCCGCTGCTCACACGCTCCTCTCTCTCTCAAATAAATAAAATCTTAAAAACCCAAACAAAAAAAGAGCCACAGCCCTGCACGCACAGCTCCCGGCTCCCGGGTGTCTCCCGCGCTGCACAGTAACCCTGGCTGCGGGCACCACACCCGGTGCTCCCGGTGTCACGCTGCCCCAAATACCAAGCCCGTAACAGGCTGAGGAACATATCACGTGTCCTGCGCTGGCACTCAAGACCCCAGCCCCAGATGCCACCTTCCCGGAGCCCCCAGCAGCTC